GATATTAGTCTCTGCAAAACCAGCGTATTGTATGAAAGGCAACAAAGAGGATTTAAATAGGCCTTGGAAAAGATATTGATAATCTGGCTATATTAATCCTGTTTTCTACCCGAGTGTGAAATTACTTGTTTACTCTACTTATCAGGGTTTGATACAGCTGATCACTCCCTGACTGAGCTGTATTATGTGATCACCTTTCAGCAGTGAGCTTCAGCTGGGCCAGAGCCAAACAATGTGACTTCACTAGCCCAGGCACAGTGTCCAAAGTCAAGGTCAGGATGGCTGTTATCTCTGGGCAGCTGCAGGAGCTCAGGAGCTCTGGGACATCTGGTCAGAGCTTGCATTCATGTGGACATGGGGGTAAGCCAGGGCCCTGAGCATAAATGTGATAGGTTTAGAGTTTTATCTTCAGTATCTCCACATTCATTTCATATACCCTGTCCCCTCAGAATTGAAGATTTATGTTGTTTTCATCACCAGTCTACAAGTAGTATCAAGATGGACACTACTTAGATGCAGGAAAGTATAAGAAGAAGTCCCTGACCTAAAGGAGCTCATGTATGTGTGTATCAGAGACTGACCACTGTGGTGAAGTGACCCAGTGATGCCCGGACCACATCTCTCCTCTTTCTCCTCCCTCGTCTGGATCTGCAAACCTTTAGACAAATCCAAGTGGGAGTCCATTTGGACTGTTATAACAAAGACTGGGGGTGCTTATAAACAACAGACATTTGTTTCTCACAGGTCTGCGGTTTGGAAGTCCCAGCTCAGAGTGCAGGCATGGTTGGGTGGGGGTCCTCCACTGGATTTCAGACTTCTCACTTCATCCTCACTTGGTGGCTTGGGGTGCTCTTTGGGATCTCTTAGCCCATTTATGAGGTCATCCTCATGACCTGATCACCTCCCAAATGCCCCACATCCTAATACCATCACCTTTGGGGATTAGGATTTCAACACATGAATTTTGGGGGACACAAATATTCATATCATAGCAATAGAAAACTAGCTGTCAATGAGTGGGCAGTCAACAGAGCTGAGCCTTTCAGATCCTTAAGCAGAAGAGGGTAGGGGAGTCAGTCGGGCAGGAAGGAAGAGGTAATGACCAGCACAGTAGTCTTAGACAACCACAGAATATTTTTCTCCTCCAGTCTGATCATCATGTTGTACCAGATTGATTTTTACCAAATACTTATTTGGTTATGCTCATTTTCTCAGCTAAATCCTCCATGTATTTCCCATTGCCTAATGGAATGATTCATAAATTTTCTGGATCATATACTCTATTGGCTTAAAAAAATCTCTGAACATTTGTCCCAGTTCATTTAATTTTAAATTGTTTAATAACTTTATAAATTTATTATAAACTGATAAATAACTCAGATACTATTTGTACATATAGCATAGGATATATCATTGATGATTATGTGCATAAATCCATATTTCAAGAAGCCTTCTTAATTTTAAATTATTTTTGAAGGACAACTTTTGACACATGTGATTAGGTAGTCACCATTGTCTTACTCTCTGCCTTGTGAGTATGTGAGAGTTACTGGCTATGCATATGACTCCTCAGACAAACTACTGTATTGAGAAATGGCTGTGTGCTCTTAGGTGAAGGGTGGTATGTCCAGATTGTGTGGGTTATAAAGACAGAATGCATTTAAGGTGGCTGGTAGAACTTTGATCCTAAAGTAACAGTGGGAATTCTAAGAAAGTTTCAGTCAGCAGGAGGAGAATAAATTATTTAATCTAATCTTGAGAGTAGTGTGAATACAATATTAATAGATTTACTTTTGAAGCACCTACTATATATCTGGCATTGTGCTAATCAGTTTACATATATTATTTCATCTACTTATTATAGCAATTCTTCAAGGCAGGGATTACTATTACAGAGGATAAACACCCTGCTCAAGGTCACATGGCTAGTGATGAAGGAGTCAGGATTTGAAGGGGGAAGGAGCTGTATGTCTCCTTACAGTCTTTTTCCCATCACACCTCACAATTAAGAGTAGGTATTAGAGAAGATGTGTCATTCTAAAGAAAAAGCTTATGTGCTATAGGAAGGAGTCAGTGGGTCTAGAAAGTGGGTGGATGAAAGGAGCCCATCTGGAAGGGCCGCAGACTGTATTGTTGCCGCTCTGGGATGTTCTGGGGAAGGCACAGCTATGGAGACAGTGAAAAGATCAGTTGCTACCAGGGGTTGGCAGGGAAGGAGGGATGAACAGGCTTAGCAAGAGGATTTTTAAGGCAGAAAAACCACTCTGTATCACACTATAATGGTGGATGCATGTCATTATGTCCCTAGTCCATTATACCTTGTGTCCAAACCCTTAGAATGTCCATCACCCCCAAGAGTGAACCCTGATGGAAACTAGGGACTTTAGATGATGATGGTGGTCAGCGTGTTCATCAGCCGTGACAAATGCCCCACTCTGGTGGGGACACTGATAATGGGCAAAGCTGTGCATGCATGGGGGAAGGGGATATATGGGAAATCTCTGTACCTTGCTCTCAATTTTGCTGTGAACCAAACACTGCTATACAAAAATTAAGTCTTTAAGAAGAAAGAAAGATAGGGGTTGGACATGGGCCTGCAAGGATGGGGCAGTTAGAAGAGATAGCAATGCCTCCTGGAGACAGGACAGGCCACTCAGAACTGCACAAGAGAAATGTGGATTCCAGGAAGCTGGTTAACACATTCGAAAAGGTAAAATTTGACAAGACATTGACTAAAAAATAAGCTGTCCTTTATCAAAAAGTTGATAAAGAATTTAACAACTTCCAACACTGCCTGAACACAAAGCCATCTTCTGCTAGTCTCCTCTCTCTGCTCATTTTTTTATACATTGCATTTTTGTCTGTGCTCTTCTTGCTACTTACTCTAATAACTGTCTACTCACAACCTGTAAAAATAGAGGAACATAATTTATTGAGCTGTTCATTTATGATGAGTGCATCTTCTATACCTGAATAAAATTTACTTAAAATAGAAGGAAAGTATGATTCTATATGGGAGTTGCAATAATCAAGGTTGAAATAAATAAAAACTGTACCCACTGTTCCTTGGTAGAATCAAACCATTCTCCAGCCAAAGGTTTTACATGTTGTAAAAATAGCATTTGCCTAGAAGATAGAAAACTAGCATTCCAGCCCCAGCTCTGCCATTAGAATAACTGTGTGACATGGGTATGATGCCAGTTCTCTTTGAGTGTGAATTTTCTCATATGTAAAAAAAAAACAAAACAAAAAGACAAATATCCCAAAGTCCCTATTAATGTTTAATATGGTGAAGGTAAAGCAATGCTCAACTTCCACCAATCCCACCATACACAGACAGAATCTCCAGCTCCTGCCCAGCTACATATTTGCTCAACCTGGTGTTTTGGGACAGAGGTCGTAAAGCATTTTCTGAAGAGGGCCAAATAGTGAATATTTTAGACTCTGGAGGCCATGAAGTTTCTGTTGGAACTACTCAACTCCGTAATCACAGTGAAAGCAAACACACACAATATGAAGTGAATGAGCACACTTGTGTCCCAATAAAACTTTATTCACTAGAACACATGGTGAGCCACCTTTGGCACACAGCCCACAGCTCCTCCACTCCTGTTCTAGTACATAAGCTTTTAGCCTTCTGTGCAATTTCCTTTCAGCACATATAAGGAAAAACCTGAGCTCACAATGATGAGATAAATAGGGCACCGGAGAGTTAGACTGTGAAAGGAAGGAAGGAGGGATGAGAGGGATGGAGGGAGGGAGGGAGGGGAGAGTGGAAAGCCGAATGGAGAGCGCTGTGTGGGAGCACTGGGAGGAAATTCTGGTGGGGAGTGTTCAGATTGGAAAAGGCTTGGCTTTGACATGCAGCTGGCAGCCAGGTTCGAAAGGACCAGCTGGTGTGTAAGAGTGTGTGTGCTCTGCGCTGAGGCGCAGCCACCACCGTGTGAAAAGGGCGGCATGGTGGACTTGGCCATGGTACGGTGTCAGGCACCAAGGGAAAATTCACTGAAGCATTGCAGAGGGAGGTAAGGAAGGGAGAGCTCAGCCTCACTCCTGGGTGAAGAAATCCCACCAAAGGGCACCCGTGCTGTGTGCGGTTCCTCCTGAGGGAAAGGACAGCCATGGCTGCTTTTCCTAAGGAGTCTCCAAGATCACAGAGCTCCATGAGAGGCACATGGGGTCTCACTCCTGAGAGAGCCTTCCTGAGTCCTTACAGGGGCGACCTCCTCAGAGAAGGAGAGCACTGGCGGGCTGTGGGGGATGCCTGCACCCCCAGGGCTCCAGGTGCAGGGCTGTTACGAGGCTACTGTGTGGGGATGGAGGGGGCCCTGCAGTGCTTGCCTGGGGCTGCTGTTTCCTGAACTGAGGGCCAGAGGCTGTGAGCTTTTCCTTCCACACAGTCTCCTCATTCTGTCCCCCTTTTCATTCTGAATTCTGATGTGGCCACTGGAGGGGAGGGAAGTGAGAATGTGCTTATGCATTCAGGGTAGGATATCAGATTCGGGGCATCTGTCATGGACTGTGTCTTTAGGGAAGACAGTACTTCTCCGTGTCATTACATGGAAGGAAAAGAAGAGCTGGATTTTTAGGGACTCTTACAAACTTAGAATGTGATTGATTAACCAAAAAATCTGTAAAATTTCACACAAGTCGTGCACTTGATATAGAACTAATTGTATTACAGTTTGCAGTCCATTGCACTAATTCATTAATTTTCTTTCACAGACTAAAAATTTTTACCAAGCAAATGTACGCAAATCAAATAGGAAAATGGTGTTCTTAGCTAAGTGCACTGCCATCTGTGGGTTTTTGGTGGGGGGAGGGTTGTTTGTTTGTTTCACTGGAATAGTACCACTGGGATGGAAGGTAAGATAATAAATACATCCAACATTTGAAACTGTGTGTGGAATAAGTTCCTGAAGGATAGCTGGGAGGCCCTCTCCTTTGATAAACATTCTGGTGACTGGCATGTCCTTTTCTTTTTTTCTTGTCATAAACAGAATGAAGAAGATGAGCAACATTTATGAGTCGGCTGCCAATACTCTGGGAATCTTTAACAGCCCCTGCCTGACCAAAGTCGAGCTGCGCGTGGCGTGCAAGGGCATTTCTGATAGAGATGCTCTTTCCAAACCAGACCCCTGTGTCATCCTCAAGATGCAGTCCCATGGGCAGTGGTTCGAGGTAGGCATGTCCGAGGAAATGGGCAGAAGCATGGCTGGAGGATTGGTTCAAAATGCTTTTCATTTCCTGTCTTCAGGAAATGGAAGATTCTAGAAATGATTATGACCATGTTTCTGTTTACATTGTGATGCTTTTAAGTGGCTGCTTTAATGCTATGGATATTTTGACATTTGCCCTTAATTTGTGTGCTCATCATGGACTTGGGGCCCCTGGAGAAGAGCTGGGAGGACAGCCCTGCAGGGGCCACCTTACACAACGTTTATTTTTGGTGTGAGAACACAATATCAGCTAAACTTTACTGGATGCTTATCAGTGTCAGGTACTGTTCTAAGTACTTTATGTGGAGTAACTAATTTAGTCTTCACAACAATCCTAGGAGGAAACATACAGAAAGGTTAAGGACTTGCCCAAGGTCATTCAGCCTGTGAATGGGAAAGCTAGTATTTGCACCACACAGTCAGGCAAGGCACCAAAGCCTGAACTCTTTATTGCTGTTTATACTTCCCAGTGCACTGGTGTGTTTGGCTGTTTGTGTGGTGATATTGCAGGTTGAGTTCTGCAGTTTGGTTTTGTTAATTGATTTAAAAGCTGAAACATACTGGATGACGACTGGTTTTAAAGAATGATTGATTGACTGATCGATTGATTTAACTTTTTTGCTCCTGGGTGGGTGATATAAGTAAACAATGTGTCTTTAGATCTGGTCTGAGGTGAACAGCAGGAGAGGGAGGAGCCGCACGCAGCTATCACCACCTCGAGGGGAGCTAGGTACACAGCGGCCCTGGATGGGGTGTGAAGCCATGCAGAGTAGACCCAAGAGTACACAGCCACCTGCTTTGAACCCCTTGCAACAAACTCCTCACACTGTCCCGACTTCTCCCCTTGTTTGCAAATAGCTGGGAGGTCTTCTTCTAAGGGTAAAAGTGTCCACTGCACAGTGGCAAGAAGGCTGGCAGACCTGGGAGGCAGCGTGCTTATTTGTTCATATGCAGGTGATAAAAGCAACTTCTCTGAAAGGGAGTTTTGATAGAGGTTGGTGAGAGGATGAAATTCTAGGGAGGAGGCAACATGGATGGAGGGATGAATGACAGGTGAGCAGTTAGGGATCTTAATTTAACTGCAGACTCACCCAGGGCATCTGCTGTGAGCATGAAAACAGCACTTATAGGTCTCTTATGGCATAAGGTCTTTTTTTCCTTCTAAATAGTCTCTGTGACTTTGTTGGTGGGCTTTATTGCTTTTCTTTTTTTATCTGGGAAAAATAAATGGAATGCCTACATTTAAAAAGTCACTCTTTGAAAATTAGAGGAAAGAAATTCATCTCCTAATAACCCCTCTACATAATTTGACTATTACTTGTATATATGTCTTCCTTCTGGCATTCATATTCCTACATGGTTGTTACCATGCATGTAAAATTTTCTTTCCTTATTTTATTACTTAGTAGTATTTTTTCCATATTGCTAAAATACCCCTGTTTTAAAAGCTGAATAATATCCCATTAAATGAACTTATTTAATCATTTTTCTATTTTTTTCACTTTGAAGTTGCTTTCAAAAATTCTGTATTTTAAACTGCAATGAATATCTTTGTGTGTAAGGCTTTCCCTTCTGTTTAATGGAACTCTTAGGAGAGGTCCATGGTCAAACTGGAACAAGTTGGACAAAGGATAGGACAATTCTGGGGCTTGTGATCCATATTTGCCTAATTGCTTTTCTAAAGTGCCCTATTACAGTGTTACTCAAAGTATGGTCTGCTCACAGCTATGGGATCATAAACATTTTATTACCAGTGCATGGTAAGATTCAGGAAAAAACAAACTTGTACCACAAGATAAATTGATTCACTGCTTCCTTCATCTAAATGTCTTACTCTTTAAAAACAGGAACTTTAGCTGAACCTTCAGCATGCTTACTGATATGCCTGCTTCATATTCTGGCACCCTGAGGAGCACTTCTCTAATTTTACACACTTAACGATATACATTCAAATACAGTCAGGAAAACCCATGCAAAATAGCCAATAATGGATTTGAATCAGGTAATAGGAGAGCTGGAAATGCTGAGAAACCACCTAGAGACAGGAGAGAGCCCAGACATTCACAACAGGAATCTGCTGCTTTGCTTAGCATGGCACACTAGTGTGCAGAAGCCAGCCTGTAGAGGCTTGGTAAATATTCAGGAATTTTGCAAGCCTGGCTATGGGTACTTATTACCACAGACGTTGGCCAACATTTCAAATCAGGTCACCGTGGCCTCCAGAAAGCCAGTTGTTAAGCACTTAGCCCCACGCCACTGGGTGGGAGGGACAGAAGAAGGAGATAGTTGTACAGGACCAGCTACCTAGCAGAAGCTGAATCCGTGGAAGGAGGGCCTCTCTGTGGGAGCCAAAGGCTGGAAGTGCTTGCTGAAAGGGAGATGAGGGCACTCGGGCCCCTCCTGCTGTTCTCGGTGACTTGATGGGAGCCATTTGGCGAGGTCTGCAAGGAAAGACTGGAGAAGGCCCTCCAGAGCTAAGCCTACAAAGCTCTGACCACCCACAGTCACTTGGGAGCCACCCACCCTGTCATCAAGGAGGACACATTGACTTAGTGCTAAACCTACTTTTCAGTATAAATTCAGCAAGTGGTCTCATGTTGAAGTTCGAAGCACCTGACAGCCTGTTTATACCATGTAGCTACTACTGTCTACATTCAGTGAAGGACAGCAAACATGGCCAATGCACTGGGGCCAGACGTACTGATGTGTGCATTTCCCAGTCTGCCTGCTACAGAGTGTCTGGTTTTACAGAGGGGCTGTTATGTGCAATCCCAGGATGGAGAGAAAGCCTTGCAGACCAGAATTTACACTGGCTAAGACAGTGCTTTCTTTATGGGGAGCCTGGTAATCCACTAAGTGAAGAAAAAACAACAAACTGAGAGGCTAAACTCATTTGCATAATGGAGAGGTTGTGGGGGGCGGGTATATCGGGGTGAAAGCAAGAAGCGCAAGGTAAGCTCATCTTCCAGAGAGAATTTTGAGTCTTGGTAGAACAGGCCATGTATTGGTGCCATCCTGCTGGGCTCTGGGAAGGAATGTTCTCCATCCCTCTGCCCAGTAAGGCTGTCACTGCTGCAGAAAGCTGCTGAACACTTGAAAGGTGCATGGTGCAGCTGAGGAACTGAAATTTTTCATTATTTAATTTTAACTAATTCGAGGGTAAATGTAAATAGATGGTACTGTTCCAAAGTCCCTTTGCTGTGCTACAGAATTTGGCTGGGTTGGAGAGAAAAGGGAATTTATTAAAATGTTACCATTGGCTATTAATTTTACAACTTAATTTTTTGGGGGAAATGTGGCTGGAGATTGACATTGTTTTTTTATCATTTGGGGTTGCTGGCCTGTGCTTTCTATAATGGGATGGCAGCAGGGAAACCCTGTTATGCCCTGGTGGACAGTGACTCAGGTCACCACAGCAGTAGATGGAAGTACGTGTGCAGATGGCCTGCCCATGTGGAGAGAACAGTTTCTCTTTTATTGGCTCTAGGCTGTTAGCAGTGGGAGAGAACATTTGACCTCTACAGTCGATCATAAAAATGTATGCCTGGTTTTTAGACTCAAAATGACCTATAATCTGACCTTCTGTGTTGTTAATAGTATCCAAGAGTCAATGAGGAGAAATCTGCATCTGAAATAGTGGAAACCAATTGTTATGAAATGCACAACAGACTGTTGCTCTTTCCAGACCAGCAGAGTTTGGGATGCACGTCTGAGGAATGAGAAGACAGAAAGGAGGCTTCTGTTTCCTCCTAGAATATGGAGATGCGACGGCCTTTTGTTGGGTGAAACTTGCAGTAAGTTTTTGATGGCCGTTATCGTAACTGTTAAAAAGCAAGGAAAAGTTGTAGCTTGGAAATGCATTCCAAACTGAGGATTTCAGACCTACCATTTAATTTCCTGAATTTAGAATCATACCCATTTTTTAAAGATCTTGCCTGCACCCACTCCTGGCAATAAAATGGCAACAGGATATGGCACAGTTACATGTTCCAAAGTCCCTTTGCTGTGCTACAGAACTTGACTGGGTTGGGGAGAAAAGGGAATTTGTTAAATTGTTACTATTGGCTATTAATTTTATAAATCATAATGATGATTTAGAACACATTTCATTTCCCAATGAAGAGTGGAAATAAATTCCTTCAGCCTTCCAGTCCTTCACTAACTTTTGGAACCGAACATTATAACCAAGTGGGAAAAATTAACACCTCTCAGAGATTCAAAGGCGAGGCCTTACCTGGAGCATATGTCTGTCCTCTGGGCATGCTATATGTTCTCCGTGAAACAGAGCTAAGCTCACAGCATGTGGTCCTTGGCAGAGATCCCGTAAATGGCAGAGTGCATATTCTCATTGCAAGAAGCCAGATTGTTCCCCACACTGCTTGAAAATTGCTTCAATCCTTTACTTCCATTTTCCCATATAATTTTAATCCACAGTTACTGAGTTCCTCCATAGGAAGTTCTAAGTAATTCTGAGGACTAATCATTCTTGGATCAATTCCATATGAAACCTGTTAGGATGAGTCATGTGCTTTGGTGTATTGTTGGTAACACTAATAATTGTTAGTAATAATTTCTGTGGTTTTATCTAATATCAGTTATCAGTAGACTGTAATGCAAGATTATTATTGTTTATAATAATACATTCCTATAGCACTTCATATTCACAAAGCCATCTACTTTAGTTATTTCATTTGCTTCTCACACCAGCCCCATGAAAAGCTGTCTCAGACACTGAAGTTAAGTCCAGCATGTACTAAACACCATGAAGAAGACATGCTTTGTGTCCTAGAGCACCTCAGAGTCCAGTAGAAGAGCTCATGCTGTCTTAGAGACAGAGTGCTGGAGGCTCAGGGGGTCATGAGACCCTGAGAAAGGGGGTCCCCACAAGGTCCTGACTTAAGTGTCTTCTTTTGCCTGAATGTGCAGTGGGTACATACTTTGTGCGGGTCTCAGCCTACCAATTACCAGTGTTGTGGTTGGACCGGCCCCAAAGATTCCTATTATGGTCATTAAGAGCATCTTATTATGATGACCTTCAGCAACAGCTGTCAGGGAACATTGGAAAAAAGGGACCTGGAAATCACACAGCATGACAGGTCACACAGCAAGGTCATGGGTAGAGAGAGAGTGTGCACAGGCCTGGGGTTCTGCCTGTACTGGATTTGAAGGTGGGGCCTAGGGTTCCATAGGTTCACTCTTTTTTTGGTGAATTTAAAACAGGAGAGTGGGAATTTAAAGCTTTTTTCTCAGAAAGAGAAAAAAAAACAAGTAGTCCACATGGGTAGTTACTCAAGTCAACCAAGAGCTCTGACACCACGGGGAGTTAGCCGGCCGACCTCTAGCGCAGTGGCACTGCCTGCTCACTTAGTGCAGAGAGCCCTCTGTAAACAGAGGCATCAAGTCAAAGCTTAAGTTAGGTGCTCGCATTCCAAAGAAGAAAAAACAGCTGTCAGTCCTTGTGGCAGTGGGCCATTTCAGGGGTGCCCAGCCTACCTTCTGCAGGGTGGGTCTACAAGCCAACCACTCTTCCAGCCCTCTGTGACTTCCCATCTTCTCTCCCCACTTCCCACCCACCCAGGTGCAGGGCTGGAGGCTGCGAGCTTTTCCAGCAATTCCTTCCTGGTTACAGGCTCGTGGACAAGTTTCTTTCACTCCTGGGAGAGCAGTGAGTCTTTTATGTGTGGAGCCAGGAGGATGAAGGCCAAAATAGCAGCTTCACGCATATGTGAGGTAATCAACTTTCCGTTGCTCCAAGGTGCTAGTATTTTATGAAAATAGGTCAGTCAGTATGAATGATGATAAAATAAGGGAGCCATTTATATGTGTTGATACCGGCTATGTGTTAGCCACTTTATGCATATTCTTTTTAAACCTCCCAGCTACCTGCAAGGCAGACTTTATTAACCAGGTAAGGAAACAGGCTGGACAGAGTTAATAAATTACCCGAGAGCACACAACTAGTAAGTAGGAAGGCTGCAGTCTGGTAGATTCCAAAGCCCATATTCTCTCCATCTATTCAGAGATTGTGAACTTGGGGCTGGAGGCCTCCATCTCATCTCCAGACATGTTCATGCTGTTCTAACAAGTTTGCTACACTGGTTGGGAAAACTTAAAGACTGGGAGATTTTTCAGAACAACTCCAAATTTCTGGTTTCTTTTAAATAACCCAAAAGTCTGTCAACATGGCACCTTTAATCCTTGTGCAGCAGTGCTTGGAGATGGTTAGCGGCTGCCCAGACCCAGAGAATGAGTCTGTCCTTCTACTTCCTACCGTGAGCCCGTTCCACTCACTCATCCTGACAGAACAGCCTGCAGGTGTTTGAGCCTAGGGCACGTGCCTGCAGCCTCTGGGCCGGGTCTCTAAAATATAGTTAACCTCGCAATTGTGGACACACACAAGAGCTAAAAAATGAAAATTAAGTCAATTAAAGCATTTCCTCTGCATACCACAAACAAGTTTCTTTTTTGAAAAGATTTTCTGTTCACACTTTGCTGACTTGCAGCACCTTGGTGGCTAACACCCAGCCTGACGGATGATAAAAACAAGTTTTATGCAGTTGTTCAGAAAGTTTCAACTGTGGTTTCACATCAAACTCCCAAGTGGGAAAACTTTGATGTTGCTTTCTAACTCCCCCTTAACACATTCTTAACAAGAATAATTTATTTTCTTTGAAAAAAATAAAAGTACAGAATGTAGATTTTGGTGATATTAGGAATCTTCCCTGAGCACTGAATAGAAAAGAAAACAAAATGAAATATTAGAACTAGAAAATATTTCCTCCCTTCTGCCAGGGGTCACATCCCTGTTAGCAGACCCTGTGCTTGCATGATGTTCACTCTAAGTGACGCACTTGGAAGGGGGAAGGAAGATTATTGGGTTGCTTTCCATGTGACCAAGTGGCTTTCTTATCATCAAAATCTGAAAATTGTCAATATCATGATGTCTGAGAGCAGAATTGCACAAGATAGGAAATTGGGGCTGCAAATGAGGGAAAAACAATTTAAACTAAAATCTTGTGTTGACTATAAATTCTTTTGTGTGGACTGAAGATGATTTATTTTTTGTTTGTTTATTTTTTTCTCATTGACTGAGATGTTTCTCAGTTTACTAGCTTATGTTTGGTACATACTAACTGCTTCCCTGAACATACAGATTCAGTTGGCTCGGCTGCCTTTTCCTTCCTCCGCCAAATGATTCAGTTTGAAACTGGTATTCCAGTGAGCTTTTTCCTGATGATCTCTGTTGGGTAGCCCATCCTTCTCCATCACTGTCTTCCTTTTGTCACCATCAATCGCCTTGAAAGCTGAGACTCTAGGAGGGAAGACTATTTAAAAACAAATAAGCAAGCAAATCAGGAACAAAGACATCTCCAAAGAGGCTCAGCATTGGAATGATAATAGTAACACAGGTGCTAAATGTGTATTATAGACATTATATACATCTCTCTTCTGGGGTAAGGGACCCAGCAGAGAGAAAGCGTTTATAAACTGTCAATGAATACATCAGTTCTCACTATTCATTTCCTCTTGCTTATTCCCTGGTAATCGGTGCTCATTTATTTACTTATTTTTTATTAAGGTATCAATAATATACAATCTTATAAAGGTTTCACATGAGCAATATGGTTATTACATTCACCCATATTGTCAAGCCCACTGCAAAGCCTATTGTGGTCACTGTCCATCAGCATAGTAATATGCTATAGAGTCACTACTTGTCTTCTCTGTGCTACACTGTCTTCCCCGTGATCCCATGCACCATGTGTACCAATCATAATGCCCCCTAATCTCCTTCAACCTCCCTCCCCACCCACCCTCTCCTACCATTCCCCTTTGGTAACTGCTAGTCCATTCTTGGAGTCTGTGAGTCTGCTATAATTTTTTCCTTCAGTTTTGCTTCATTGTTATTCTCCACAAATGAGTGAAATCATTTGGTACTTGGGTTTCTTCACCTGGTTTATTTCACTGAGCATAATACCCTCTAGCTCCATCCATGTTGTTGTAAATGGTACGATTTGTTTTCTTCTTATGGCTGAATAAGTCATTGTGTATATGGATGACTACTTTATCCATTCATCTACTGATGGACGCTTAGGTTGCTTCCATATCTTGGCTATTGTAAATAGTGCTGTGGTAAACATGCAGGTGCATATGTATTTTTGAATCTGGGATATTGTTTTCCTTGAGTAAATTCCTAAGAATGGAGTTCCTGGATCAAATGGTATTTCTGTTTTTAGATTTTTGAGGTACCTCCATATTACTTTCCACAATGGTTGAACTAATTCACATTCCCACCAGCAGTGTAGGAGGGTTCCACTTTCTCTGCATCCTCACCAACATTTGTAGTTCCTTGTCTTTTGGATGTTGTCCATCCTAACTGGTCTGAGATAATATCTCAGTGTGGTTTTAATTTGCATTTTCCTGAGTATTAGTGATGTGGAGCATCTTTTCATGTGCCTGTTGGCCTTTTGAATTTCCTCTTTGAAGAATTGTCTATTCATATCACATGCCCATTTTTTAATTGCGTTATTTGCTTTTTGGGTGTTGAGGCATGTGAGTTCTTTGTATATTTTGGATGTTAACCCCTTGTTGGATATGTTGCTTACAAATATATTCTCCCATACTGTAGGATGCCTTTTTGTTCTACTGATGGTATTCTTTTCTGTACAGAAGCTTTTTAGTTTGATGTAGTCTCATTTGTTCATTTTTGTTTTGTTTCCTTTGCCCAAGGACACAATTGCTCAGGAAAAAATTGCTCATATTTATATTCAAGAGATTTTTGCCTATGTTTTCTTCTAAGAGTTTTATGGTTTCATGACTTACATTCTGGTCTTTGATCCATTTTGAGTTTACTTTTGTGTATGGAGCTAGACAATAATCTAGTTTCATTCTCTTGCATGTAGCTGTCCAGTTTTGCCAACACAGTTGTTGAAGAGGTTGTCATTTCCCCATTGTGTATCCATGGCTCCATTATCAATATATTAATTGACCATATATGCTTGTGTTTATATCTGGGCTCTCTAGTCTGTTCCATTGGTCCATGGATCTGTTCTTGTGCTAGTACCAAATTGTCTTGAATACTGTGGCTTTGTAGTAGAGCTTGAAGTGAAGGAGCATATTCCAACCCCCTCCCCCACTTTATTCTTCCTTCTCAGAATTGCTTTGGCTATTCTGGGTCTTTTGTTGTTCCATATGAATTTTAGAACTACTTTCCCTAGTTTATTGAAGAATGCTGTTACTATTTTGATAGGGATTGCATTGAATCTGTAGGTTGCTTTAGGCAGGATGGCCATTTTAACAATTCTTCCTATCCATGAGAATGGGATGTATTTCCATTTGTTGGTGTGTTCTTTAATTTCTCTCATGAGTGTCTTGTAGTTTGCAATGCATAGGTCCTTGGTTAGGTTTATCACTAGGTGTTTTATTCTTTTTAGTGCAATTGTAAATGGAATTGATTTCCTGATTTCTATTTCTTCTAGTTTATTGTTGATATATAAGAATAGCACAGATTTCTGTGCATTAATTTGGATTCTGCAACTTAGCTGAAATCAGTTATTAGTTCCAATAGTTTTGGGGTGGATTCTTTAGGGTTTTTATGTACAATACTGTGTGATCTGCAAACAGTGACGGTTTAACTGCTTACTTACCAATCTGGATGCCTTTTATTTCTTTGTGTTGTCTGATTGCCATGGCAAAGACCTCCAGTACTATGTAGAATAAAGTGGGGACAGTGGGCATTATTGTTCCTGATCTTAGAGAAAACACTTTCAGCTTTTACTGTTAAGTATGATGTTGGCTGTGGGTTTGTTGTATATAGCCTTTATTATGTTGAGATACTTGCTCTCTATACCCACTTTGTTGAGAGTTTTTATCATGAATGGATGTTGAATTTTGTCAGTTGCTTTTTCAGCATCTATGGAGATGATCATGTGATTTTTGTCCTTCTTTTTTGTTGATGTAGTGGATGATGTTGATGGATTTTCAAATATTGTACCATCCTTGCATCCCATAATAAGTCCTGGTTGATCATGATGGATGATCTTTTGATGTATTTTTTTATTTTGGTTTGCTAATATTTTGTTGAGTATTTTTGCATCTGTGTTCATCAGGGTTATTGGTCTGTAATTTTCTTTTTTTGTGGTGTCTTTGCCTGATTTTGGTATTAGAGTGATGCTGGCATCGTAGAATGAGTTTGGAACTGTTCCTTCCTCTTCTACTTTTTGGAAAACTTTAAGAAGGACAGATATTAGGTCTTCACTAAATGTTTGATAAAATTCAGCAGTGAAGCCATCTGATCCAGGAGTTTTGTTTTCAGGTAGTATTTTGATTACCAGTTCAATTTCATTCCTGGTGATAGGTCTGTTCAGATTTTCTGTTCCTTCCTGGGTCAGTCTTGGAAGGTTGTATTTTTCTAGAATGTTGTCCATTTCTTCTAGGTTATCCAATGTTTTAGCATATTATTTTTCATAGTATTCTCTAATAATTTTTTGTATTTTTGTGGTGTTCATAGTGATTTTTCCTTTTTTCATTTCTGTTTCTTTTTATGTGTGTACACTCTCTTTTTGTTTTTAATAAGTCTGGCTATTGGTTTATCTATTTTGTATTTTTTCTCAAAGAAGCATGTCCTGGTTTCATTGATTTTTTTTCTATTGTTTTATTCTTCTCAATTTTATTAATTTCTGCTCTGATCTTTATTATATCCCTTCTACTGACTTTGGGCCTCATTTGTT